TCCTCACAATATACATCAAATTTGAATCCTAAATTTATTATAGGAGAACAACCAAACTAGTAGTGAAATTTGAATGCGCGAACTGTTAGGATCGAAAATCAGCAGGTGTAAACGCGAAAGCTAGCAACGCAAATCTCGAAAGACCATGAGTAAGAAGACAACGAGAAATATACCAAAAGACACAAAGATTTAACGTGGTTCGGTCAATCGACCTACGTCCACAAAGGAGATGAGCAATCCACTATAAATATGAGAGTACAAAATACAGAGGGAAACAACCTCAACCAATTCACTCAGAATACATGGGAGGTTCACACAAGCAATAACGTATCAAGCTTGTGACCCATAAATTCTCCCCTAACCAAAACTCTCAAAGCCCTTAAGACTACATTGTGAATGCTGATTAAGTTAGAAGGAACATGCCTCTATTTATAGAGTCCTAAACCTTTTCCTACCAAAAAAGGATTAGTCAATTCAAAATCTTTTCCTAAGAGGAAAACCTATTTATGGTAAGAAATCAGGGCAAATAAAATCCAACACGAACACTTTAAGTTTGTGTGTCTTTGATCTTTCAAGAGCATCTAAAATCACTAGACTACATCGTATTATTATATCAAACGTGTCTAAAATATGTTTATTAACCATTTTATTTATTATTTTATTTGTATATACTCCGACAAACGGTGTCACTATCCTTATTTAACAACAAATTTTAGTTGATACTTATTTTTGTAGTGTATATATGTAATGTACATATTTATGTATCGATATTAGAGAAACACACAAATATGTTAAAAAAATAATAATAATAAATTAAAGGGGTTAAATTTGTCATTTAGGAAGTTAGTGAGGGGTTGTAATGGTAGAAATAAAAGTGTCGGGTATAAAACAGAGACAAAAAAACCTTTGTCCGTAAAATTCGGGGGGCAAATGTCATTTTTGCCATTGTGGGTCATACTCACATGCTTCCATGTGATAAACCTTTTGCTCTTTTTTGCCCTTTCACTTTCGATAAAAATAGCGTCCACTAACTACTTTTCGATTTATTAATTTTTTTTAAAAAAAATTATATGAAAATATTTTATTAAATATAAAATTTCAAAAATAAAAGTATGAAAAGAAACTCTTGTGATTAGGAGTGGATATAACTATCGAAAAATTTAACTGAATCAAATTTAATTAAATCGATTTTTGATTTAGTGCTGATATTCATTTTAAAAATTCGATTCTTCAATTTGGTATTAAGTATAAGGATTTTGAAATTTCAGTGCGTGGAAGAATCGAATTTTTATTGAAAGTCGATTAAAAATTAAATCGTTCATAAACAAATCAAAGTAGCTAGCAACGAATTGACAAATCAGATAGCTAACTTCAACTATTAATTCTCAAGAGGAATCCAAATATGTATTTTTCCATGTACGTCATGTAAAAAGAATCCATCTTCGTGCTTATTTTTTTCTCAAACAGTATTGGGGAACAATGTTCTTGACAAAGATAAATATGGCGTTTTACGCATTTTTATGGCGAGACACATCATCACTTAACATGGTTTTAAATCTTTTAAGTGTCTTATATATTGATTTTGTCCTCATTTTATTTTTATTCACAATAAAAAACTATTTTAAAAAACATCGAATGAATCGAATCAAATTTGTTCAATTCGATATTCGATGCACACTTTTCAAAATCAAAACCAAAAAATCAAATCGAAGTTTAATAAAACCTGATTGAAGAACTAAAAGTTCATCCTTCCTATGATGAATATATCATGAGATTGTTATAGAGAAGCAAATAAGGTCACTAATGCATATAATAAAACATGATAAAATTCTTATTTACACCAATATAATATATGATGTTTAAGACTAGCAAATCTTTAAAAATGTATTTTTCTTTTAAACAAACTAATTGAAATAGAAAAACGCATCTTGTATGACTCTCAAAACCAAAATAAAAAAAAATAAAAAATACAAATTTAAATTAAATACATCACCCTATAATAAATACATTCTTAGGGTATACACCTAACCTTTATATTCAAATCTTAAAAGTCTTCTCTCCGCTCGTAAATTTTCGATCAATTCAAACTAAAATAAATAAATTAACATTGAAAGGTGTACATAGGACCCTTAAAACTAGAAAAAGAAGAAATATAAACATGGACCTATAATAAATACATTCTTTAGTGTGTATTCTTTAGCCTATTCAAATTCTAAAAGTCTTTAGTTCGTTTATAAATTTTCGTTCGATTCAAACTAAATCAAACAAATTGAAACTGAAAGAATTACATAGATTAGTCAAAACAAAAAAAGAAAGAAACAAAAACGTGGTCCAATAATAAATACATCCTCTAAAGTATTCCATAATTTTAAAAATTAATATATTTTCGATCAATTTAAATATAGTGAAATCAAATAAAGGAATATCCACCCCTTTTTATGTTGAAATTCTGTCTTTGTCTTTCCAGACTGTCTTTTGCGTGCTATTCCTTACGCCCTGAGAAAGAACCTCCACTTGAATTCATTTCAAGTCTCGGACCATCAAAACCCAAAATGAAGAAATAAAAACATGGCCTTGTAATAAACACATTATTTGGAGAGTACCTCTAGTATATTTCATTATAAAAATCTCTCATTTTTATATACTTTTTATCAAATTAAACTAAATCAAATAAATTAAAACCCTCAAAATCAAAAATAAAGAAATGAAAACATGGCCCTATATAATAAATACATTATTTAGGGCACTCCCTAATCTATAATTTATAGGTGTCAAATTAAAAGTTATGGGCATTATATAATAATAATAATAAATAATAAAATCTATAGGCTGGAAATTACAAATGGACAGATCTATAAAAGGGACCCATAAATGTGTGCCCACTAAGCCAAAACATAACCAATGGATCTAAATGGTTTTATATTCTCACCTCTCAAATAAAGATCACTTTATTTAATTTATTTGTTTGTTACACAAGTGACAAATTTAATGAAAAAATATATTATAACATATGCAACATATTATATTGTATATGTCGTTAATTTATGTCACAATCATGCTCTATAATAACATTTTATAATAAATTTCAATTGTACTTTGTAATATATACTGAATATATAATTGTTATGAAATAAGGAAATAACATATATTTTTCATGAAAGTTAAAATGTATGTGCATACAATATATACCAAAAACATTATTAGAATGAGTGATCTTTAAAATAACATGCGAGAAATTGCTCAAATGATAAATATTCAAAAGTTAATAAGATAGAGAAAATATTAATATTCAAACGTTCATAAATATAAATGATATTAATCTTCTTAAACGGTCTTAAAGAGTATACCATTCATTCACGAAAATTGCTCGAATGACAAATAGTTTTCTCTTGAAACACTAAAATTATCGGTTCAAGTTAAAAAAATACAAAAAATAAAAATATAAATTGACACTAATAAAAAGGAGGTAAGATTTTTTTATCTGATATATGTAATTTAAACAATTATATAACATTTTCTTCTGCTATTTTTGTTAGGCCACAACTAATATTTATTCCAGAAATATTTGCATAATGTAACTACCTCTTATAGTGGACCTGAGTGTGTAGATATTTATTTTTATAATATCAAACTTAAACTCTGTATTTTTTATGGTTCAATTTTATGTAATGTATTTCTAAAAAAAATATATATATATATATATATATATA